ATCAAAGAAATCGCGATAGGTTTTTTTTGTCCATATCGCAGAGCCCTAGTTCCAAACCCGTAAAAGCTTAATTCATCTTCGGAACACAATTTAAGATATCTTGGATGAAAACCGGGAGGCTTGTGACTGTCCCAGTGACTGCCAAGTAAATAACACTGTCAAGGTCCAGAAAAGTATGAAAGACATCATCAAAATAGTCCATCTGCCATCAGTTGTTCAATCTGAATGTTATAAAGTGACGATAATACTTTTTGTACGCAAAGAAAACAAAAATAATGACTTTATTCAACAATTTGTTTCCTCCGCGTCACCGTAGCACCATTTTGGAGAATATCAGCTGGACGTAAACTGTTCTACTTGTCTGTGTCAGCCACACCACACAGATACGTTTTCTAAGTTTATTTACGCTTTGATTTGAATGAAAACAGCGTATCCATGTGGTGCGGCTGACACAGAACAGCATACGCGGTTTGCGTTCAGTGGATATTCTCCAAAATGGTGCTACGGTAACGCGGAGGAGACAAATTGTCCTCCTTGGTTTTCATCCAAAATATCTTAAATTGTTTTCCGAAGACGAATGAAGCTTTTAGGGGTTTGGAATGACATGGGGGTAAGTGATTAATGACAACATTTTCATTTTGGGGTGGAGTAACCCTTTAACAGTAAATTGTCATTTTTGGTAAACTATCCCTTTAAGAAAACATTCTTAATGTAATTGAATACTTAAAGAAAACCAACAACTATCCAATTACCTGATTTTGAGCACTTCAGAGGCCTGATATATAAAGACAAATAACATGAGCCTGTACTTGTTTACAGAAAACATTTATGCCTAGATATTGCTTAAGGTACAACTATTTGCTATAGCACCCCATCATACTCAAAACCAATATAGAAATAACATTTTCTCAGCATTGTGAAAATCAGTATCTGGGCTAGTTTGTCATTTCAAATCCCATTCAGACTACAGACCACCCACAGTCCATTCACAACCCGTCTTCATCATGCTACACGCAAAAATGGCAAGCACTGACTGAAATATCCAATTCCAAATCTGACTGGCTGACTGCTAGACCAGAAATCAGGGTGCACAGCATGAAAAAAGTGGGGTTTACAAGGTATTGGTCAGCTAGTTCATTTAAAGTGATAGTTAATCCAGAAATGAAAATTCTGTTATCATTTACCCTCTCTCCAATAGTTCCAAACCCGTGTGAGTTTCTTTAAGGGTGAACTCTCCCATTAAGGAAGAACGAATCATTGGATTAGGCCTAAATCTGCAAGGCCATTAGCAGCAAGAGCAGTAGATATCCATTTACAATTCACATTGTTTTTTTATGTGAAATAATTAGTACTTATTAATTCTGTGAGGACTTCTGGTTTAAGTGTACAGTTTTCTTCTGCTTTCTCCAGAGTTTTCTGTACAATTGTATGAGGACACAAAGGCATTAGATTTTCTTCCACGTGACCTATTATTGGGGCATCATCAGAACAATTTACATGGCTGTCAAACAAACTCTTCCGGTCTAAGTGGGCGGTTCTTGGTCAGAATAAGCTGCAGTGTGGACCAGAATGTATTCTGATGCTCTCTAGCACTTCAGCAAAGAAGTTTTGCTTCAGGTATTTTGAGGGGAATCTAATAAGTGTACTTAAAAATAATAAATACCTTTAGAAACAAATTTGTCTGCCACAGTATTACTAACTTCTTCCTAGCTTTCATGTAAACTGACATTCAGTATACAGGTCAGCTGATATATGGGCTTACTGGTAATAATTTAATAACTGAATCAGAAGATACATTAGTGGAACATCAAATTCTCATGCTGTTTTGGAACATGTTTCAAAGCCATGTGGATTCAACTAGAGAAACACAAAATATAGGGCAGATCTCACACTAGGATCTTACAGCTGCCAAGAGATACTGCACCAGTTGACTGAAAAGGGGAGATAATAGCACACACAAACTGAGCTTTTAGGAGAACGCTGCTGATTTTATACTGAACCTGGGCAGAAAATACCCAACTAGTAGCAGTGTCAAATACCTGTGCTAGACAGACAACAGACAGACCTCATTCTTAAGAGATGGCGAAATCTGTGAAATCATAAGGAATCCAGGCGTAAAGGGTATATTATATCCATACACGTGTGGACTTGTAGTGTGTATGTGTGTGTGCAGTGTAAAGTGACCTGGTTGGTCTCCATCCAGCGGCTGGCCTCCTGCAAGTGATTAAACTCGACGAAGGCGAATCCTCTGCTCTGACCTGGAGACACAGCCGTCGCCGGGCCACAATGACAGAACAACAACAACGCAGTGAGGGGTTAGTGTTTTCATATCGAGAGAGAGAGGGAGAAAGATAGAGACAGAGAGATGGTAGAAAGAGCTATAGCTGTATTCTATCACACAGTGTATTATCACACTGCTGCCTTTAGACTGCTAGAAGTGATGGATGTTTTTGTTCCTCTGCTATTAACACCAGTTAATTTACCATTAATTGCACAAGACATTATTAGAAAATGTGGCTACACACAAAACTATTAAATGTCTGATGCTTCACCAACAAAATCTAACATCTGAGAACCATATAGCCTACACTACCGTTCAAAAGTTTGCGGTCGCATTAAAGAAGTCTTTAGTGAATTTGTAAAATATTACAATTTAAAATGATTAAATTTTCATGCAAAGCTGAATTTTCAGCATCTTTACTCCAGTCTTCAGTGTCACATGATCCTTCAGAAATCATTCTAGTATTCTGCTTTGCTCCTCAAGAAACATTTATTATTATCAATGTTGTGCTGATTAATATTTTGGTGGAAATCATCATACATTTTTTCAGGATTCGTTGATGAACAGAAAGTTAAAAAAAGCAGCATTTACTTTTTTTAAAATGTACTGTCACTTGTGAGCAATTTAATTCATACATAAAGAGAGAGAGAGAGAGAGAGAGAGAGAGAGAGAGAGAGACGTACAAAACTTACAACATTATACTGACACTTATGCAACTTTATGGATTCTTGTTTTGATAAGTTTTGATTACTGATTCACAAAATGTGCATAAAAGTTTTACTTCTAATACCTCTAATCTCATTTTGATCATAGGTTTAAACTTGTCTGAAATCACAACAGTCTGTACAGTACAGGTTGATACCTGTGGGCCTGAAATGGCAAAGGACTGTGTTTAAACAAAGGTCTTTGCCAAACTGCTCACATTGGATTAAAAATTAAGTTTATAGAAATAGGCATTCCAAGCAGCCCTACTGCAAACACATCATAAGATGTTTCAATGCTATAATTACTAAAGAAATACATTAGATTTGAACCATAGCCATTTTAATTCAAATTAAATTGACTAATCTTTAAACTGTGGTCAATAGCTATTCCACATGCCTTAAAAGTCAATAGTTTTCTTTGAGCTTTAATCTCCTACCATAATACTTTCATGCCACTGGCACATAAGTGGGGTGGAAAAAATAAAGGAAACACCTGATAATACATAAGTATCAAGGACCTATACACTGTTTGCCTTAGAACAGCTTCAGTCCTTGGAATGCTGTCATACAAGTCCTCAACCGTTTGGGAACCGTGTGGGGAACAGCGCCATTCAAGAGAATCTTGCCCTTCTTTGAGGTGTATGGAAGGGGGAGGCGTTTTGCAGAGCAACTCGTACAGAAATTTTACACAATGACGTTTACATCAGGTAATTAGCAACATTATGGAAGCTCTTTAAGAATTTTTTTCACCACAGGATATGGCAACAGTGTTTTCCACTTAGGGGTCACTGGTCCTCTGTTATGTAACTATTAGAGTAGTTGATTTAACATGTTCATTTGGTGTAATTATGAAAAAAAATAATGCTATCAAATTATTAACGCAGCCCGCCACGCCCAGACCTATATGTCATCTTATGTCTTTTTTGTATGCAGTTGCTGACGAACACGATGCAAGACGACAAATGACTGCATGATGTAGCCTATGAGAATACAGTTATATGCCCATAAGATTCAAGATATGAGGGCAAAAAATGCCCTGTATGGTTTTTGTCTTTTATTTACTGTATCTCATGTGATATACAGTGGCATGCGGAAGTTTGGGAACCCCTTGCAGTATCTGTGAAAATGTGAATAACTTGAACAAAATAAGAGAGATCATAGAAAATGCATGTTATTTTTTATTTAGTACTGTCCTTAGTAAGATATTTTACATAAAAGATGTTTACATTTAGTGCACAAGAAAAAAAAATAGCTGAAATTATTAAAATAACCCCATTCGAAAGTTTGGGAACCCTTGGTTCTTAATACTGTGTGTGGTTACCTGGATGATCCACGACTGTTTTTTGTTTTGTGATGGTTGTTCATGAGTCCCTTGTTTGTTCTGAACAGTTAAAGTGAGCACTATTCCTCAGAAAAATCCACCAGCTCCTGCAGATTCTTCAGGTTTCCAGCATCTTTTGCATATTTGAACCCTTTCCAGCAGTGACTGTATGATTTTGAGATCCATCTTTTCACTCTGGGGACAATTGAGGGACTCAAACACAACTATTAAAAAAGGTTCAAACATTCACTGATGCTCCAGAAGGAAACACGATGCATTAAGAGCTTTGAATTTGAAGATCAAGGTAAATTGTACTTAATTTGTCTTCTGGGAAACATGCAAGTATCTTCTGTTGCTTCCGAAGTGCAGTACTAAATGGAAAAAATATATATTTCTACAAAATAAGAAAAATTTGGACATCTTCATCCTGTTCAATGCATTGTGTTACCTTCTGGAGCATCAGTGAATGTTTGAACCTTTTTGAATAGTTGTGTTTGTATATGAATGTTCAGATTTTTCTGAAGAACAGTGCTGTTTAACTGTTCAGAACAAACAAGGGAACAACCATCACAAAACAGAAAACAGTCGTGGATCATCCAGGTAACCACACACAGTATTAAGAACCAAGGGTTCCCAAACTTTCAAATGGGGTTATTTTAATAATATCAGCTATTTTTTTTTCTTGTGGACTATATGTAAAATATCTTACTCAGGACAGTACTAAATAAAAAATAACATGCATTTTGTATGAACTCTCTTATTTTGTTTAAGATTTTGCAAGGGGTTCCCAAACTTTCGCATGCCACTGTAGTTTAGCAATATCACACCAGTGCTGCTTTTTTCTCAAATATGTCCGTGATTGCAAATGTGATGTTTGAAATGTGAAAGTTGAAAGCTGAAATATATTTAAATGCCTGCACTTCAGATGCAGCTTCTAAAAACAATGTTATGGCCACACTGTAGCCTTAAAGGTTTAGGTGTAATCAATTCTATGTTTATATTTCTAAAGCTACATTTTGATGTCTATTCAGATCTTTTCTCATTTAACACGACAATGACTTCAAATGATCTTTTGGGGGTAATTTCTCAGCCCAAATTGACGTGCGATTAATTGGTGGTATATAATGTAGATTAAAATTTTTAATTGCTTGACAGCCCTAATAAATGAAGTTCCAAACGTAGGTTCGGGAGGAGCCTAATCCTTCAGTGCTGACAATCATCATTAAGAGCCTATATAAGCAGTAGTCATTGCGCCATCCCAGCAACAATTCTTCCGGCATCCCTCCACCTTCCCATCGCCTCCTCTATTTCTGTTATTCTCCCTCTATATAGTACTGCAATGGGGGAGGGGGGTTGAACTCGGAGCTCAAGCCAAGCCTCGGATTCAAGCCTCCATCGAGGACAGCAAGCCAAGTTTGTTTACCATTAACCATCAGGACTGGATGGGCAGGCAATCTCGTGAAACTATGTATTATAGTCATCAGACATAATGATTCCCATGATGTAGCTATTCCTTTATGGATTAGGAACAATATTTAAGGGTTTCCTAAAACACTGACTAAATGGCATTCTTTGGCTTCTTCAAATGTAAATCCATTAGAACATAGACCAAAGATGACTCCTCAAAGCATCAACACTCTTAAGACTAATTAACCTACACTGACTCACCTACATAGCTGTGTAATCAAATGACCTGAAAGAAACTAAAAACTTTTTAACTGGTGTTTACATTATTTTGTCCACCCTTTTAGCTGAGGACACAAAATTCCAAAACCTTTTCATACCAATCAAAAAAAAAAAAAAGCCAAAAAGTGCTCATGTAATGGTCAGCCACACTTATCATCTCAACACAGCTATTGCAAAATACTTACACAATGTAAGGTGCAAGATCTTCCCCAGACTTCAGGACAAGAGCAATCAAAGTGAGATGAGGGATAAGGCTGGCAGGACACGCAAAACAAGCTTGGCACTTGGGAGTAGTTATGTTTGTGCTTGTGCGCCAATGTACATGTTTCTGTTATTCCCATGCTTGTGGATGTATCGTGAGTGTGTATGTTGTCTGGTTAAGAACAGTCTGACAAGGGGTATGGTAAGACAATAGTAACACACAACAGAGAACAGGAAATAATCAGTGATGGCTTAAACGAAAAGATGTGCAGGGAGTTAAAGATACGTACGCCTGAAGATTTCAAAGCACCAGTACTAAACAGCATCTTTACTCAACTCAAATACACCAGTAGGAAAGTGAGAACGAAAAGAGGCTGTATTGAAATTACACACTGAACTAGGCAGACGCAAGAGTGAGCTAAGGCTTGTTAGGAAAGGCTGTGAAAGAGAGACTTGGAGGTCAGTCTGGGGTACAGAGAAGCCCCCCCGGTAGAGCATGCTTACCTGAAGACTTGTTCCTCATGAGGCGAACCTCTCTGGGCTGGATCCCCTGCTCTTGCAGTCGAGCACGAATCTAAAGATCAAACACCAATGCTTAACTACATCAAACCTCATAGCAGGAACATGGGTAACCTCATAGCAGAAAAATGGGTATGCTAATGGATGAAATTTGCTGAAACTTTACTCACCCTCAGTCCAACCAGGATGTAAATGACTTTGTTTCTTCATGAGAACCGAATTGGAGAAATGTATCATTCCATCACTTGCTCAGCAATGAATGCTCTGCAGTGAATGGGTGCCGTCAGAATGACGATTAAAAACAGAACAACTGATATGAAAACATCACAATAATCCACAAGTAATCCACACCACTCCAGTCAATCGATTTTTTTTCTTGTGAAGTGAAAACCTACATGTTTATAAAAAACTAACTAATCATTAAGGAATTGTAACCTTAAACAGCCACTTCTGGCAAAAATATGAGTCCATAATCCATAATAACACTTCCTCTAGTGTAAAAGTCCATCCCATTTTTTCCTTTCACATAAAAATCCACTGACATATTTGTTCAGATCTGTTTTGACTTGTAAACAGTGCTTGATCGGAGCATATTTCTCTCCTGATTCAGACGAGGCGACTTTTTCACCAAAATAAAATAATGAAGAGGACATGTATTTTAGCAATGGTTTGAAGTTAAAATGTCGTAATGATGTGTTTGTTACTTATAAACACACAGCTTTCCACTTCACAAGACACTAACTGATGGACTGGAGTTGTGTGGATTACTTGTGGATTATTGTGATGTTTTTATCAGCTGTTTGGACTCTCATTCTGACGGCACCCATTCACTGCAGATGATCCATTGCTGAGCAAGTGATGTAATGCAACATTTCTCCAAATCTGATGAAGAAGAAAACTCATCTACATCTTGGATGGAATGAGGGTGAGTACATTTTCGGGAAATTTTCTTTTTTTTTTTTGGCTGAACTATTCCTTTAAGTTCTGTATGCTATGTAGAACACGAAAAAAGTCAACCTATCCCCCAGTTTATAAAAACTATGTGCTATGTACAATGTAAGTCTATAGTGCAAACAAACAACTGCCACACAGATTTCTATTGCAAAGAGCAAATCTATGTTTGTCTTGTTTTCTGTTGTAACAGTATTCCATAGATGTTAACTGAAATGGTTACTGTACTCATATCAAGAAATAAAGCTAAGACAAACCTCATTAACAGTTGCATTGGGCGGGAGCATTCTCAGCATGACAATGTTGCTGGGTTTTTGGGCCTGCTCTGAATCAGACCTGTAGTCCTGGTCACGGGGTTCTGGCTCCTCCTGGCTCATTTCCAGAGCATGATGAAAACTTCCATCTCTTAATTTGTCCCTAGCTGGTTGGGCTTGGTCAGGAAAGCCCTAAATCAGGAAGACAGTCATCCTAGATATATATTACTCTTCTCAAGTTCTTAATAACAAAGAGAAATGTTTAGATATGTTAATATGTTTAAACAGTAAACAAGGCAAGTAAAGGAAATTAAGATTTAACGATCGTAAGCTCATGATTCATGGAAAACAACAACAGCTCTAGAGAGATAAATGTACTCACTTGTTTGTGTGCAGAATGTCTGATATCTTTATCCTCCTCAGCTCTCCATTCTGCACTGTATTCGCCCTGAGAGCTGTGCCGTCCCCTAACTCTGCCCCAAGTGTTGTCCTCATTTTTTTCACCTTCATTTGGGGTCTGCTCATCCAGATACACCTTCTGTCCTGATCTAAATGTCTGCGTATCCCTCCTGTGTGCATCAATCTCTGGTTCAAACTCATAATCATTATCATCTTGCTGGAATCTTGAGTGGAGATTATCATTTGGGGGACTTTGGAGGAGACTTTTTCCAAGTCGGTTGTTTTCGGATCCATGGTTCCCCTTTTGTCTGAATCCAGGTCGGTTATTTGAGAAATTACCCGAGGCAAAGTCTCTCATGCCTTCAAAACTACTATCAGGCTCATGCGGTCTTGCATTTGTTAAGCCGCTATTCAGTCTATTTCCTTGCCCATAGCCACGATAGTCCATGTCCCTGTAGTCGTGATCATCAGACTTTTTCCCATAGCGACCCATGCGGTCACCACGACTGCCCCTATGACAGCGAGAAAGAGAAAGATTTAGGCAATCTGTAGCTTAAAGGAATAGTTAACCCAATTCACTGAACATGCACATCCAAGATGTAAATGACTTTGTTTCTTAATTGGAACTGATTTGGAGAAATGTAGCATTGCGTCACTTGCTCAGCAGTGGATGCTCTGCAGTGAATGGGTGCCGTCAGAATGAGAGTCCAAACAGCTGATAAAAACATCACAATAATCCACAAGCAATCCACACCACTCCAGTCCATCAGTTAACGTCTGGTGAAGTAAATTACTCCAAATCTGTTCCCATGAAGAAACATCTACATCTTGAATGGTCTGAGGGTGAGTACATGCTAACATATTTTCATTTTTGGGTGAACTACTCCTTTAAATTAGCTTGTTCTACTGCTTCATCAACAATTTTGCTCAAGTCAAGAACCAAGCATATGCAATCATGTACTGTCAGTGTGGTAGATGAAATATATCTAAAGGAGCGACAGCAGTATCCTGCGGTGCAAAGTGCTAAGTTTTTTCTAAAACCACCTCAATCAACACCCGTCTGCTTCTTATTGATGCAGCTTTATGACGTCTTATCAACTAAAAGACAACATGAAATACCTGTCATTCCCTATTTGTAAATCCTTCTATTACACAGCAGGACTATTTAAGTAAACTTCAAAAAAATTGTGATCAGCTGCAGTATCTTGAATATATATACTGCATTTACAAACCTAAAAATCTGTAATACATTTAAAAGAGCTCATGTCTGTTATGCCATTTACCCATTTAAGTTTAACAGCATGGAGTTAAGTAATAATGTCAAAACATTTATGCATGAATCCATCCAGTGGTTGAATGCAAATTCATATTAAAAAGAGAAGATAACACTGCAGGCTGATGGACTCTTGACCTACCTCCTCTCATAATCCATGCTTCAGTGCAAGTCGACAGAAACGCCCACTTTTTTCTCTGCCTGCTTCATTTACAACTGTTGACAAAATATGTATTGATCAACATACATACAAATGCATAAAAACAGAGATGTCGACTTGACCTACTGATCTTTTTAAAAGCACGAGTAGGACAGACAGTAGTGAGCTGTATGCAATGCGTTGGATTGGTCCGAGCCAAAAACTCGTTTGCATATCATTTCTTTTACGCCATTTAGAAAAACCACAAAAAGGTGTAAAATCCGCTGTCAGATATGATGTCCAATAGCTGCAACCCTGCAGAAGGTAAACGCAGTCTGACACTAATCTACTGAAAAATATATCTGAATACATACACAACAACCGTCACTGAAAGTTTTACCTCGGTGTGCCCCAATAAATAGTATTTGGGTCTCATGCATTAAATAAAACTCCGCGCATGACAGCTTGGGTTCGGTCCAGAGAGCACGAGCCCCGACCCTAACGCCCGCAAGCGCCCGCAGCACAACGTGGCAAACGTCGCGAGCAGCTAAACTTTTAAAAATCGGTATTTTAATCGTGTAATAATGACAATGTGCAGTCGCTTACCTCTGTTTTACATCAGCAGCGTCACACAAGCGCTGAAACTGATACAGTGTATTGTGTGCCCCAATAAATAGTATTTGGGTCTCATGCATTAAATAAAACTCCGCGCATGACAGCTTGGGTTCAGTCCAGAGAGCACGAGCCCCGACCCTAACGCCCGCAGCACAACGTGGCAAACGTCGCGAGCAGCTAAACTTTTAAAAATCGGTATTTTAATCGTGTAATAATGACAACGTGCAGTCGCTTACCTCTGTTTTACATCAGCAGCGTCACACAAGCGCTGAAACTGATACAGTGTATATGTGTGACGCCCCACAGCAGAGCTCAGTAAGATGGCCTCAGTCCGGGAGGCGGGGACTGCGCTCTCAAGCTGATTGGCTAGAAACACACTGGCATGCAAACGCATAGAAATGTGGCCCGGATTAAGAATTCAGAGGCCCATGGGCACAATGTCTGGTAAAGGCCCCCTTAACACACACACACACACACACACACACACACACACACACA